TTATTATTAATACACTGAAATAAATGTGAAATGTTGAAGTACAAAGAGTGAAACAATATTTTCTAGTAAAATGTACTCCAGTAAGCTAATCTGTTTCTCAGGACCTGGACCATAAAATCATAATTTGGTCCGAATGAACTGAACTCGCAGTTCACATGATGTTGATTTTGAGTTACCGCTTTGACGGAGTTCATTCAGTGAAGGATTCATAAACAAATATTTTAGGACAGAAACGGTAAACGACCGACAGTGATGCAAACTTCTCGACTTTTTCTCAAATATGGCCGTTTTGAATTGAAAATATGGTATCATTTCCGTGAGTCATGCAAATCCTAACTCAGTGTTACAAGACAAGAAACGTACATTCGACGTTAAAGGTGCAGTAGGAGATCCTGGAAAATGTTAACTTTAGCCTGATTGCACTGAAAGCGAATGTCCCAGCCTCCCTGCAAATCGCCGTCCTAAGCCACGCCCCCTGAACGCATGAACGCGAACACAGAACCAGACAACTTGACAACATTACTAAAATACATCATGTGTCATTCACCGGTGAGAAAGATTTATAGTACAGTTAGTAAAAGTACTACAATACCAGGAAGGAAGATCAGGTTGTTGAAGTTTGCCTGCCGTTCTCGCTCTGTCTGCACAGTGTATGTATGCAAATACATGTCGACAGGCAGGTAGGAAAATCAATAAAAACGCTCGGAATGAAGCATCATTATATAAATTATATCAACAGAGCAGTTGAAATGCAACATTGCATTGAGTTGCAAAAAAAAAAAAAAATGTTGGACTAAAGGTGCCGTCACAACAACGAAATTTCGGTGGCAAAAAAGGTGCACTGTGAGCACAGCTCGCACAAACTGAATTCCGCACACAGAGATTTTCCACATGTCAAGTGGTTAAAACAGCACAGCATTTGTTCAGTACACACGCGTGCTGAACCTGTTTCAAAACAAGCAGCTTTCTATTGGTCAGCATGGTGAATTCAAGTGACCATCACGAAAATGAGTGAAGTCTGCATAGGGATTTTTTTTTTTTTTGCCCAAGCAACAGTAAACGTGACGACACTTGAATTATTCATGTTTAATCTGTGATAATATATTTACATTTAGTCATTTAGCAGACACTTAATGTTTCTAATAAAATATTGTTTTTCTCATTTTTTTTTTCAGATTTTGTGAGGAAGACCATTTAGTGAGTTCTTCCGAACTGGGATCTCATCACAGCCTAAAGCCTCGTACACACCAAGACGATTATCGCGCGCGCTTATCGCCGACGTTTTTCGACGCGTCTTTTGTGTTCATACCCAAGCGATTTTCGCAGGCGATGAGCCGAGTGAACGTGCAAATTCACTCCCTGACATTTGATGGCGCTTAATGAAAAACAGAAATACCCCGGTACACATCGAATCCTATTTGATCAGAATTCCTCTCCATAACAACTCCCTCTTATCGAGATTGTTGTAGTCGCTGTCACGTTTGTCATAAAGCCCTTTGTGTTCAGACACCAATGAGACCAGCAGCTCTACATTCATCTTGCCTCGACGCATCTTCTTGGTCTACTTACTTCCTCTTTGTCGTTAGGTATCAATGTGTGCTGGGCAAGACCGTTTTGTGCTTGAGCGCCACCAAGTCGTGTTTTACTGTAACTTCAGCAGCTCCGGGCACGTGAACAAAAGCGCCAATCTCATTGGTCGGCCAGTTTTTAACGCGGCGCGTCAAACCAAAATAACGAACCCGAGGCATTTTTTACAAAAATACACTTTTACGCCTCGCGTTTTGCGCGTCGGTGTGCTCACTCACATTGGCGCCCTTTTTAGTCACGAGGCGTTAAACGTCGGCGATAATCGCGCGCGATATTCGTCCCGGTGTGAACAAGCCTAAAGCCCCGTTCACACCGCCAGCGACTTTTTCGCTGTTTGTCGCTTGTAGTTGGCAATTGATGTCGCTAGTGGGCGTTCCCATTACTGGTTGCCTAGTTACCCCCGTAACACTTCACTAAAGCAGATGCATCACGTGCTCTCCACTGACTTCACTCCCATTGGTTGTCGCTCACGAAATTCGCTGCTTATTTGCATAAAGTTGAAGAATTCTGAACTTTTGTCGCTTGACTCGCATCGCTTGACACGCCCACATTCCGTCGCCAACGGTCACTGTCGCTCGTGTCGCCGGAAGTCGCCAGCTCTCCATTGAAAATGAATGGGATTATGTCGCTCTGTCGCTGTGTGTCGCTGGCGGTGTGAACGGGGCTTTAGACTGATCCAGCTGTTTCTGAGTCGCTGTGTAAAGTAGCAGGAAGCAGCAGTGAGATCAGTCAGGGTGGCATGGGTGCTTCATCTGAAATCTCCGAGGAGAGCATCCCAATAGGTAAATTATATCAATAGAGCAGTTGAGTTGAGTTGCAGATAAATATGTTGGACTAAAGGTGTGGTACATGTACGTGCTGAACCTGTTACACCCCTATTTCAAACCAAGCAGCTTTCTATTGGTCAGTGTGGTGAATTCAAGTGACCAACTTGAATATGAGGGAAATCTGCACGGGAATTATTTTGGCCGTCACTTGATTTCGGTGAGCAACAGTAAAAGTGACCACACTTTACATGTTTAATCTGTGGGTAGAGATGTTTCTAATAACATTGTTTTTCTTAATTTTTTAGAATATGCCAAAGTGAGGAAGACAATTAGTGCGTTCTTCCAGAAGAGCTGTGAGATCTCAGCACAGCCGGATCCAGATGTTTCAGAGTCGCTGTGTGTCCCAGATGCAAGTGTTCCTGAACCAACATCTGAGCCTATGGAACCTGGACTGGATCCTGAGGAATGGTCTATCCTGAGCAGTTCTGAACCGGAACCTGCGTCCTCAGAAGGTTTGGTGGTTGACATCAGCAATGCCATCTCAGAGCTGAGGAGCCCAACACTGGTGTCTGAGGATCTGACCGATCCAGAAGGGCCTTCAGCAGAAGTGTCAGTGAGCAGCAGCAGGAACGATCAGTGTGGAACTGATGCTTCTCCTGAAACCCCTGAGGAGGACATCCCAACAGGTGAATGTCAAGAATGCATTTGAGTTGCAACATTACAATGACATGCAAACAGAATGTCTTTCAAGTCAGACAAATGATTCATGTTTAATCTGTTGTTAAAGATGTTTCTAATAACATATTGTCTTCTTCTTTTTCAGAATATGTCAAAGTGAGAAAGAAGCTTTTCCCAAAAGCTTTTTGGGATCTCAGCACAGCCTCACAAGGATCCAGCTGTATCCTGAGCCAGATACACAGAGTATCCCAGAAGCAAGCGTTCCCGAGCAAGAACCTCAAGTGACAGAGCTTTCAGTCTTAGAGAACTATATTCCTCAAAACATTTCCCAATTGAAAAACCGTTTGGAGGAATGTACACTGTCTGAGACACCTGTCACTGAGGTCTGGCCCAACATCTTCTTGGGAAATGAGTAAGTCTGGAACTCATATAGACTCATATAAACCATGTGATGAAGCAATAATGTAATGCAGGAGCATAGAATCAAACACAACTGTATTTCTACAATGTAAATCCTCTTTACTGAAAGACTAATCTAGATTGTTGTGTTCTTGTGCAGAGAGACAGCAAGAGACCGAACCAAACTCAAAGAGATGGGTATTACCTCTAATGCTGCAGCAGTGAAGAAGAAGCTGAGGGTCTTGATGGGAATGCCAAAAGAGAAAGACCTGAATGGAAAGATTAATACAGGGAAGAAATATTACAGAGACATGAACATCAAATATTGTGGCTTGCCTACAACACACAGAGATGGTTTGAACATGGGCATGTACTTCTTACCAGCTGCCAAATTCATCCACAAGGCCCTGAGGAACCCAGAAAATAAGATCTTTTATCAAGTGTTCTGCAGTGACCAATTTTTAGGGAATGAGTTTTTTTTTTTTGACCGTCTTTCTGTTTTTATTTCCGCAGATAAGGTGTTAATTCACTGCTGTGATGGTGTCAGCCACTCCCCTACACTTTTGCTGGCATATCTGATGATCCACCGTGACATGATGGTGGAGGAAGCCATCGATCACGTTATAAAGGTGCGACACATCAAGCCCTCCATGAGCTTCCTGATGCAGCTGATGTCCCTCAATGCTGAACTTGTGGAGCAGCGAAAACAACCAGGCAGCAAAGTGCCGCTAAAAACATAGAGCACAGAATATTTAATAATTACTAACACTTAAACTCTTGAATTTGAATAAAATTTTGTAAAGCATTGTTTTTGGTGTTCCTGATTTCTACTTTGGTATGTGTTTGATTTGGACTTGCATTTATAAGAAGTTCCCTGGATGTTTGTTTAGTCTCAGTATATACAGTCAAAATATAACATGACTACCATTAAGTACGCACTTCTGTCCACTGTAAATATATTCTAAAAAAAAAAAGTGAAGAAAAAGTGAGAATATAATGGAGAATATCACTTGAGACTTATTATGACTACTTTAATACTTGACAAGTATGTTTTAAATTTGTTAAACTGGTAATTTATTTGATCATTAACCCCGATTATTAATAAAATAAGGCACAATAATTAATCATATTAAAATATTATGTTGATATAAACGTACTCTAATACAATGCAAAATCATAATAATAAATATTTCCACTAATATTACTCATATGATCACTCACTTGATATTATTTGCAAGGCACTATCTAACTCCTAGTATTTTTCTGTCTCTTGCCTAAAAAACACTATGATATCCATAATATGCCAAAATACTGTACTTACAGATTTAAAGAATATAATACTTTATTTTATAAAAAGACTAAATATATATGCTTATTTTTTCTGCTTGGTAATATAATCACAAAGTAGCATAAACCTTTTATCATAAAATATATATTTGGCATATTTTACATCTAGTTATTAGTATTGTTGTTGTTATTCCTGTTCTTGTTTTTGAGGGTTGGTTGCTAAAACCTCAAAGCCACGTAAACTCGTATGCATTGCTAACGTCATGACGCTACTTCCGCATTACCGGTAAACCAGCAGGATTCTGCTGTAAACGAAAGTAGTGTGTTCTGTGTCTATGTGATTTGAATTGTGTCTAGTTTTCCTCCTTGTCAGTCGCTAATCAAAGATGTCTAAGCTGAAATTAATAGTGTTCGACCTAGGTAAGTTTTCACACTTAGCGTTTTAAAGGTGTACTTTAGAATAACGATATGGATTTATAAACCTAATAAATGGGAAGATAAATACACTTCCTCATATATTTTCATACTGTACAGACTACAGAATATGTTTGGTGACATTGATGCCTGATACCAAATAACACGTTTACTGCAGTAACAAAACTAGTAACTATGCCAAATATACTTTGAGTGTGTGTGTGTGTGTGTGTGTGTGTGTGTGTGATATATAATGTATAATTCATCTGTCTGTGTGTGTTTCCCAACCCACGCTATTGCATACAAAGGTAACAATTGCACTTAATGGCAACCGGTTAGAAATCATTTCCTTTTGTGAACTAATGTGACTTCTTCTTATCACAGAATGAGGCAGAAATTATATTATTTTTTTTAGTATTCATTTATGGTATCCACTAACTGACTGTTGAACACCTTTGACAGAAATGTAAAGATTGTCAAGGCTGTAATGTGATTAGTTATTAAGGCACACAACGTTATCTGCCTTCTCCAGTGGTAGAAGCATTGACCCTGGTATCTCCCAATAACAAGACCATCTCTGGTTACTGGAACTGGATTATTTATGTCATGTTAATATACGTCCACTATTAATTTTTAAATATCACGGTTATCGCACATACTGATTATATAGTGACACGCCTAAATGAACACAATAACAATATTTACATTTTTTTTTTTAAATATCACGGTTATCGTCAAGACAGGTATATAGTGACACCCCTGATATATAGAAATTACAAGTATGTCTTTTTTTCTCTCTCTTGGATTTAAACAGATTACACCCTGTGGCCGTTCTGGGTCGACACCCACGTTGATTCACCTTTTCACATCGATGACAGGTTTGCCTTCATCAGCTATAGCGTTAATTCATTGTTTGTTCTCCCTTAACATACTTCAGAGTTGTTTATCCTGAAGTTTTTGCTTTTTTGCTGGCACACACTGACTTGTCTCCTGCCTCTCCAGCGGCACGGTGCGGGATTCAAGATTTGCCAAGGTTCCCATTTATCACGATACTGAAAAGATCCTGAGCTCACTGCATAGTCAGGGGTTCAAGATAGGCATTGCATCGCGGTAAGATTGCAAATGATCGAATGAGCAAACACACACACACACACATACATATACAGTGGGTACGGAAAGTATTCAGACCCCCTTCAATTTATCACTCTTTGTTATAT